AGTTACCGGTCTCACTGACCTGGGATAACGTTGTAGCTGGAATGCTGTTCTTGTAGGTTCTTGTAGGAATCAAGGAACAGAGTATTTCCTCGGTTTTCTCTAGGCTCCACTGGGATGCTGGGACCAGGAACCAGTCTGATCTTCAGAGGTCTAGAGTGCCCTGCTCTGGCCCGCACAGGACCTGGAACACATGGTCTTATTAATTTACATCCACCTCTATCTGGACACTCATAAAAAGGCAGACAGACAGCGTTATATGTTTTGTCCCATGTGTGATGTAACCCTGTTTGTCCTACATTATGAGCCAAGGAGAAAATCCATTTTGCTTTAGCCACTTAGACTTAAATAAAAATGTGAACTCTTATGCAAAGCCAAAAGTGCTGAATCGCCTAGTATTCACATATAATAGAAACTGTAGTTGGGAGCTGTAAAACTCAACACGTGATTGGTTGATCTGGTGTGTGTTCTGGTGTCTTTAGAGGTTTTAACATCAGAAAGAGGCTGAAAGACTGTCTCTTGAATTATGATAACCAGAGAAATGACGTGAAATTAAATCATGAATGAACCAGATGAAGTCAGGACAGAGCTCAACTCCACTATGAGTTCAGGACTTTTGAGACGATGCATGAGATCACAGCTCAGCAATAAATCGCTCCAACACTAACTGCTGCTAAAACTACAACGTGTTTTTACATTTCTGTTTCTACACTTGTGGTCTAATCACATCCTGGATCAATCTGAACTGGACACAGAGATGAAACTGATAACAATCTTCTCAACTGACTGCTAGAAAGAAGATTTGCCAGACTCTTACCATGTCCATCCCTCTTCCTCTTCCCCCGGCGGGTCTCACCGTCCTGGTCGCGAGGTCTGCTCCTTGCCTGGGCGTCCGGGACGGTCAGGGCCACCAGCAGCCATAGACTGACCACTACCAGCCACCACCTCATCCCTGCAGAGCAGCACAGACCAGGTTCAGGTTCAGGTTGGGTCACAGGAACCTTTACCTCCATAGAGGGCATCACTATGGCTGCGTACAGAAGGTTTTTGATACTAGCGTGGAAAGAAAACCTGTCCATACTTACTTTCTTACTTTAAGAAATACAAACGTTTTTTGCATTTAATACAAAAAAAGCCAAAGTTCTGAAATGTTAAATGTGATTTAAACACAAGCAGCCGTACAGTTTTCAGTGCTCAGTTTTACAAACACATTTTGGGCTGTACCCAAAAAGAAATGGGTTTGATACCCTGCCCTGGACTTCACTGGCTGGTTAATGAGATATACAAAAGACAAAAGGAAAGGATAGGAAGGTTTGGTCAGCGGTTTATGGCACTGGCGATGAACCGTTATGTCCGAGGGTTTGAGTCCAACCATGGGCCTTAATTCTTATTTCTCTTTCCTCTTTGCACTTTAATTTCCTGTCAACTCTCAATAAAAGGCATAAAATCCAGAAGAGAAACGATTGGTTTTCAGGATTCCTTTCGTTATTAGTATTTTCCATCTCTCTTCTCTCTCCTCGTTCGAATCTCTGTGAAAAGATTCTGTGAAATGTAATTGCAGAAAACCAGCAGCTAAAATCTGCTGGAACCAAACATACAATCCATGTTGTTTCTCCGCCCGTACAAAAATAGATGAAAGAAGAGTTTTTTTTTTACCTGCAGCAGCTTCTCAGACAAAAAGAGCTGTCAGTGCTGCTGCCGGTCCTCATATAGCTTTCTGCTGGGGTCCTAATGGCTGGTTCCCTGAGTGAGTGAGTGTGTGAGGGTGTGTGTGTGTGTGTGTGTAATGACTAGTCTATACACAGCAGTCCTGTCATTACACACCTTTACACACCTGATAGTTTGTCTTCTGTCTGATTCCCCCTCCGAATGGAGAAGATTGAACTAGTTCTCTATATCAGCCTCAATAACAGTAATAAGTGTGCTGTAGCTGTGCCCTGGTGCATGATGGGAGTTGTTGATGATGTTGGAGCCTCTGATTTGTTGGGACGGAGCTCCAAACAAGCTTGAGAGTCCAGATAGAGACATTTAGTTTGTGTTAGTCTGCAAACTGTTCATTTACTGCAGTTCTGAAGCCAAAGATAATTCTCACCGACTCTATAAAGCTCAATGGAGCTTTTTATTGTAGGTCAACATAGTGGAGCAGTTAGCAGGTAGAGAGCCAGATACTTTATAAGGTGATATCAGGATAAGATGTGTTTGTGTATTGTTTTCTTGCCATTAAGTGGCAAAAAAATTAATTAAAGCGGCTTTAATATTTGTATTTTTATGGTTGTTTTCTATGAGTTATTTCCATCTCAGTCAGTTTCTCCTCTTGTAGATAAACCAGTTTTATGATAATGTTGACAGTTAGGACAGCTCGTACAACATTATCTGATTATTGTTTCTGTATTGTTTCAACATATAGAAATAACATGTCCTCTACTCTAAAACAATGTCCAAACAGAAAGTCTGAGCTGAGCCGAGAAGGTCTCAGGTCCTGATTTTGTGCTCAAACTCTCAAGAAATAATACACATCAAACTGTAATAACTGGGCTCAGATCAGTTACTGATATCAGCTTTTACTTACTCTAATGCAACTTCAGTTCCAGTCCTAACATTAAAACTGACCCAGACAGCTACAGTACTACTATTCTACTCGTATTCATAGTCCTGTTAGTACTGACTTATTATGAATTCTGTTCATCAGCACATAAAAACACTGATCATCTGAGTGAACGAGCGACATGAGTGACGTGTAAACTTTAGTCCATCCGGGGGATTCATTCATGAGTTTATGTTTATTAGTACAGGCTGCTTCAGGTGCATCGCCGCCACCTTGAAGCGTCAACGCTGATTTGCATGTGGCCACAGACGAAGTATAAACTGAAGTATTTTAAAGGTCCAGTGTGTAACATATTAATGAATATAATATTCATTAATATGTTTCCATTAGTCTCTAATCACCTGAATATAGGAATCATTATGTTTTTGTTACCTTAGAATGAGCTGTTTTTATCTACACCACTGCAGGTCGTCATCCATGGAGTCCACAATATCGAACCCACCATGTTCTACAGTAGCCCAAAACTTGACCAAACCAAACACTTGACTGTAGATTTTCAAGTTAGTGAGTTTTGCAGCCATCCTAGTTTCTCTTACACACTTCAGAGCCCGTTCTCCTGCCACTAAATCCAACACACTGGTCCTTTAAATCTGTACTGGATCCAGACATGATGAGATAAATAAGTGTAACTGGAGTATCTGTAACAACTTTTAATACTAGAATTCAAAAAGCCATCATGATTGTAACAAACTCAAATGATTCATTGTTTAGTTTAAAGAACTACAGCTCCCATGCAGTTTTTTCCAGAGCCGCAGTGAACATATTACACATCATGGTGAGTGTGTCTCCCTCAACCATCACATCCGCCCACATGCTCTTCACATTAATCCTTCACTTTTTCTTTTCTTTTTTTTGGGGGGGGGGGTAAAAACAAAACCTTAAGTCTGCAAGCTCCACAGCTGGCAGGCTCTGAGACCTCCCACTCAACTCACACCGGCATCAAAACCAGAAGAGATAGGAGAGACAGAAGAGAGAGAGACAGAAAGGACAGAGAGAGAGAGAGAGAGAGAGAGAGAGAAGAGAGAGAGAGGGATCCATGAGTGCTGAGACAGGGGAAAGAAAACAGGAGGGAGGGGAGAGAAATGGAAAATATTCAGCAGTTCAGTTTCTGGATGAGCAGGCTCAGATGGAGAGACTTCCATCAGGAACAGCGGAGGATAAAAATAACCTGGAGACTGTTTGTAGTTTAATGAAATCCAGACAGTCTTTAAGCTTAAGTTTGTTCTGCTGCTGTTTCTGTTTGCTGCTCTCAGTATTTCACTAATTAACTGGACTCAGGGGAAATAGTTAAAATTATTTCTGAATGACTCCACGAAACTTCCTTTAAGACACAAGTTTGTTTTACTCTCAGTAACAAAAACTCCACTTTCAGACCAAACAAATGACTGAAGTTTAACTGTAACACAGATTTGTAGTTGACAATTATCATCAATTAATCTCTTTCTTTATTGCTTTGACTTCTTCAAACTCAAAAATATTCAGTTTAAATTGGTATAAAACAGAAAACAGCAGTAGATGCTCACACTGAAGAACACTGACTTTAAAATCAACCAAAACATTAAGATAGACTATTTTTTTTTTTGACTGACTTATCAATTAATTGTTGTATCTGTGCTACAAATGTCCGAACACGTCGCTTTTTAGTTTAAAAACTACAAAGCCAAGTCAAGTGCCCCTAACTGGTCTGCACGTATATTTCTGTTTATCTCTTAATTTAGCAAACGTTTTTCTTAAATGATTTGATTTCCTCAAATTAACAGAATTCAGTTTTCCCCTCATGAACCAAGATAATTTAACACAGTTTGATTATGAATTAAGATCCAATATAACCGAAAATGATTTACTGTCAAACTGTCCAGTTCAAAGAAACTGTGCTTCAAGGTTCAGGAGCTCTTCATGGTGACAGTAACAATTAACAATGTGTTATCTGCAGAGATAATTACTGTCCAGAGCATCAAACACCTCAAAGTGTCCACAAATAATACCGATTGCTCGGACATTTTTGTTTTGTTCAGTGTTCTTCACTATTCTTCTTTTTTAAAGTATTGGTCCTCCAGACAAATACAGCAGAAGTAAAATGATCCTTGTGTTGATGTAACGTCACATCTGCTCGACGAGTCATGATCGAACACCTCGTACAACCTCTGAAAAGCACAAAGATCGAACTCAAAGCAGGCGGTGAAACAAAAGTATAACCAACTGATAGAAGTTACGTTCCTGCAGTGGAAAAGTGCTCACAGGGCCAAAGTGACCTTAAAGAACCAGCACCGACAAGGACTCGCCTCACGACTACATGACGTATGCGTTCTGCTACCCACATTTTGTTTGGTAAAGCTCCGGGTCTCGGGTCGGGTTTGTGTCAAATATGGCAATAACAGTCAGGTTCAGTTGCGTCATGTCTCATAGATTCAGGTGCAGATCAGGTTCAGGTCTCATGCAGAACTCTTCACCTCTGTGAATCTGATTCAACAACTTCATCAGGCTGTTGGAGAGACAGACTGATGAAAGGAGAATTCAACAGACTCTGTAGAGTTTGGCTTTGCTTTGCTAAATGTGCACGCTACCAAAGTTATTGTTTAATCCAGACATTATTATGTTTTTAAAATTACTTCATACCAGTGAAACAAAGACAAGTTAAGTAAACACCACGGTTTGTTTTTGCCCCAAAAAAAGCAAAACCTAAATAAAGAAGTCGGCCTGATTTAGTTCTCAAATCTCCAAATGTCCTCTTAGCTTATTTTAATGTCATCAGTCAGCTGAGGGGGGAAAGCTGAGCAACGCTGCATCAAAACCAGGAAGAGAACAGACGTGTACAAATATCTTAAAAGTTAAAGTTAATCTGGATCCACGAGGTCCGTTCTGGTTCTGGTTCTTGTCTGGGTTGCATTTAAATGATCGAATCCTCAAATCCTTATCTCTTAGTCACCGGTAGCTTGTGGGGTGTTTCTCTTTTCTTTATGGACCCGTGAGGAAGATTTCCTACTGAAACAACTGTTTACAAATCAACAAAAGACAGACAGACAGAGAGAGAGACAGACAGAGAGAGAGAGAGAGAGACAGAGGGGAGGAGCTGAAGACAGACAGAAAGACATTAACTCTACTTTACCAGCAGTTTGAAGGCGGTTGCAGGACTTGAGGCCAAATTCTTCCACCCTATTTTCTCCTCCTCTGGTTCTGCAGGAACTCCAGGAGAGGTGTGTGTGTGTGTCAGTGTGTGTGCGTTGCTGTGTGATGATACTCTGTGTGTGTGTGTGCCTTGTTCTCGGTGTGTCTCGTGGAGCAGTTGTGTGGAGCAGAGCAGGCTAATAGAGCTGTGAGGAAAGCCAGGATTTGTACTGCAGCTGGGACAAAAAGAGAGAGTGAGAGAGAGAGAGTAATAAACAGACAGAGAGAGAGAGAGAGAGAGACAGGTCTTACATCTGTCTCCCTGTCTCAGGGAGGACACGCCAACATGCTGCAGGATATCAAAGAAAGACAGTTAAGCGAACCGACAGAAGTTAAACGTTCACAAGCTGCACGGTGAAAAGGACAAAAACGGGAGGAAACACAGCAGCTGGTTCAGTCCTGTGGTGGAAATAAAGGAAGGACTCAGAGTGAGGGGAGCTTTACATACAGGGCAGAGGTCAGAGGTCACGCAGGACCAAACATCCCACTTCAGTGTCGACTAGAAAGACTTCATGTTTTAGATGAAACCACCAGAACACAAATGGAGGAGAGTCAACCCACAGAGACACACATGAAGCACCTCGGGCTGCAAATTAGGATTATTTTCTTTATAAATATTATAAATTAATCTGACAATTATGTTTGGTGAATCAAGTCATTGTTTAATCTATGAAATGTCAAAAAGCCGTGATTAAAATGCTGATCCGAACTTCCAAAATGAGCTGTTTAAATGTCCTAAAATATTCAGGTTTAAATAAAGTCCCTCATGTTGGATGTAACCAGACTGACATGTTAAAGTTTTAATGGGTTATTAATCAAAACAGCTGTCGACTCTCATTAAAGCAACAAGTTTATAACATTTGTTCCTCTGATCAGAAACGTCCCGGCTTCTCTAGTTTGTTTGTTTTGTTCTTAAATCTGATTTTACACTTTGATCCCGACACCACAAAATACTGTAAATCCACCAGCAGGATAACTTCAGACATCGAGCTCAATGTACCTGAGACTGAAGGTGATCAATGGCATCAACATAAACCCACATTGATAACAACATCTGTCTGACACTGAAAGCAACCGAGAGTACGTAAATCATTTTAATAAGGATCCATCAGGATTGTGTCGACCTGTCAGCTCTTTAAAATTCACTCAACCCATAAAAGAGCAAGACTCTGCAAGTCCATCTAAATATTAATGTGGATTCTGTCTCGGCTTGTCGGCATTCACAGAAATTGACTCACTAAAGTAATTAATAAGCCTGCTGACCCACACCAAGCATATTTTATTTACAATAACATAACTTGAGATAGGATAAGATGTTCCTTTATTGATCAGCAAAGACGGGAATTCACATTGACAGTAAAATATAAAACATATACACTTTATACAGTAAAGTATAATATGGTAAACCTGTTTATATCTGTACATGTGCAGTGTTTCTGAAGTCTGATCGTTTCTGTCTAAAAACCATAAAACCTCTGTGTGAATTATTCATATTTTCATTATTTAGAGTCAGACTTTAACTTTCAATGAAAAAGTGGAGAAGAAACGAGTAAATAGACGCTATTATAGTTGTATTTCTTGCATCATTCTGCTGTAGTTGAGTGTAGAAACAGTTAAACAACTGTTATACAATAGTTTGAGTTTATAGTTATAGTTATTTATAGTGGACTTTACAGGCGCTTGTGTCGTTTTCTTTGTGTTCTGGGTTCCTGTGCAGCTTTTTACAACCCGATCAATCAGACCGATAGCTGAGTTTGTGCTGCGTTAGGGACAAAGACAGTTTAAAGAAAATGAAAGTCGGCAAATGTGACCCAAACTCAGATCAAATACTGATGAGGAGGACAAAGATGTGATCATATTTATGCATCTCGCCCGGTACAATAATATTGATCCTGAGTGTGGACAGAAGAAGGACAGAACGGAGCGAGAGGAAGCTGTGTGTCTTTATTGTGGACGAGGTCTCGTGAAGTCACTGAACATGAACGTGTTTGTTTCTCTGTGAACTGACTAATGTGGGCACATTTTATTCTTTCCCACCAAGTTTGTTTTCTCCTGTTCATGTGAGAATAAACTGCCCTTCAACATCAAACTGCTCAGTAAACACAGTAGAGGACAGTAAAGACCTGGTTCTGGTCTGATCTGGACTGGTTCTGGTTCTGTAGAGACACACACCTGTTGGACAAACAGAAAGACTGGACTGTAACTCAGCCTTCTGTCTGTGTGTGTGTGTGTGTGTGTAATATAAACCCCATTAACAGTTCGTGAAGCCATTAAAGTCGACGTCCCTGAGTACGGATCAATCGCCTCCTCCTGAACGTTGTTGTGGGTCATAAAGTTTACAAATGTTTCCTGATGAAGGACGAAGACGAGAGTTTTCTCTGGAACTGATCAGCGGACATTTATTAACATTTGAACTCGACCTCACGCTCAAATCATCCAGTTGTTACAGTTTAATGCGTCTCTGTGTACAAACCAGTGATGTTTGATGAGTGAGGCCCCGCGGTCACGATGCTACACAGATACAGTAGCGCCCCCCGCTGGCCAACTGACAGTGGTGGATGTCAGTGTCTGTCAGTGATACAGGAGACAACTGAAACTAAATTACACTAATTAATGAGTAAATTATTAATTAATCTAATGGTTTTGTAAATAACTTTTAATGGAAGAGATTCATGTTTACATGTTGCTCATGTTTGCTGAAGTAACCAGTAGTGACAAAGTGATTCACTCATTATTTTATATAGAATATTAAAAGTAATTAAAGTCATTATTGTTGATGTTTAATGTAAATCATCAGCATTATAATGACTTTAAAGTATCACAAAAGTACTTAAAAAACAAGAATATATCAGAGAAACAAAACAAATGAGACAATTTCTGCTTTTAACTTATTTCTAATGTCTCATTTTCATTTTTTACAGAATTAATTGTTGCATATGTTTATAAAATAAGAGATGTTTGTTTGGTAGAAACAGATTCTGACGGTTGCTGTAATTGTTCCTCGTGGACTTATATAGTGTCACGATTCCTCGTCTTTGTTCACACTAGAGTTTCCTTTCAAAGAGATTTCAATGTGAAAATGTTTGAGGCTTCAGCCGTCTGAGTTAGTTAATAAGTTATAATTATATATTAGTTATAATGTTTTTAGTTTGATATATTTCCTCTTCGTGTTTCTTTGCAGCAACAAGAGAAGATTTGATGTTTTTCTGACTAACTTTGGATCAGACAGATTCATTGAAGGACTTCAATCACTGAGTGAACTGACGACCTCTGACTGACGAATATTTAATCATTTATATTAAATGTAGAACAATAACAACAGAACAACTGATAAACTGAACAATGAACCTAAATATAGAACAC